AATACGTGACACAGCCTTTAGAAAAATGTTGCATTTTTTTTTAATAACGCAATTACAACACATTTTACTGCTGTATTTTAAACAAAGACTACTGTTCTGCCTTGTAACACAGCAGCCTGGTTTAAAGTATTTTTGTACACGCTAACTTATATTCCCCCCCACCCCCATAAAAGCTTCTCATGTCTGGGGGGGCCAAGCAGCAACACAGTATGAACTACAAGGCCAAAACCTGCAATGCTCCAAGGGTCCCTGAACACCAATTTCAGTGGTTTTGGAGGGCATTCCACACTTCACAGGGTCAAGCCTGCTGAGAACTGTGTTCTTTACAATAAACAGGTTAATGAAACACTGGTCTAAGTGAGAAAGTCAAGCCAACATTTTCATTATTCATAGAAATACAAGCGATCAAATGCAGCCATTCAGTTCTTAGAGAAAGGCCAACCATCCACAGCACAACTTGCCAACAAGGTTCTTGAATGGCATAAATATATACACAGGTTTTTGGTGGGTTACTGCATACGCACATACAGACAGACTGCCTATGATTTGTAATGTGTAAAGTAATTGTGGTGAGTGACATTTTTCTGGAACTAGGAACAGTGCTCCAGTATTCATGCCTAATGTTTTAGGCTACAAAAATAAGTTATTTAGCAAGCAGTCATGCATTAAATTAATAATTCCAGGAAGTATTCCCAATGGCAAATGTCCCATGTGTTCAGAACACGACGCTTTCTGGTAAAAAGAGACTGGCCTTAGAGATCAGCCTTGCCTTATGAGGAAATTTTCCCCCTCCCCTTCTAAATAAATACAATACAATGGCAAACACAAATCCACATCAATTAGTCTAATGACAGTGATGTTGACAGCAAGGGCAAAAACAAGGTGAACAATGGGTATGAGGGTCCAAAAATGAAAGTGAACAACCGAAGCAGAACTCAAGGGGCTTAATGCATTCAAGCTGAGGGGACTAGATAACCTCCACCCCAGACTTCTGGGAAAAAATGGTACATGAAATGACAAAACCAGCAGCACATCTTTTTGATTCATGTAGCAAGCCACAGGCAGTACCCTACGAGTGGAAAATAGTGAATATAGTGCCTATATCCGAGGAGGCGGAAACCATGATTCAGACAACTGCAAGCCAACAGATCTGACCTCAACAGCATGAAGGAGCCCTAAAAGAGATGTTGAAGAAAAGGATACAGGGAGACAGGTATTTACTCAAAGTAGTTTGTGCCAGACTAACCTGATACCCAATTCTCTCACTAAAGAAACTGCAAGAGAACTCACTTAGCCAACCTGCAGTAAAACAATAAAGGAGCTTCTTAAACAGGGAAGCAACTTGGTGGAGGCAGGTTTCTCAAGGACCGGTCTTGGGACTGGTTTTGTTTAATATTTTCCCTGGCGTAAAAAACAGCAGTGTGGTAGTGACAGGGAGATGGAGACACTGTCAATTAAGGTGAGATCAAGATAGAATACGGAAAGAATGGCACGAGCTCAAGTAACAGAAATAGTACAAAAGGCAAAGCTGTGCACTTGGATACTAGTAAGGAAAAACTGAATTATAAGTTGGAATCTCACTGGCTGTACAGGTTTCCCTTGCTTTATACCAGGGATGAGCCATATGCGGCCCACGGGCTGGATGCGGCCTGCCAGGCCATTCTATTTGGCCCACAGGGTCCCTAAAAATTTAGAAAATTAATATTTATCTGCCC